GTGCCAAAGTTCAGGGCTTAGTTAGAGATCTACAGGTCTGAGACCGGGGCAGGTTAAGTCATTCCCAATCAGTTCTTTCATTTATTCATTAAGTTCCAAGATAAAAGCCGCTTGTAGGTGGTTATTTGACTGGCTGGACCTACCTCCCTGGTATCCAGTGTGTGCAAAGCAGCTAAGTGGGCCTTCTTTTACCAAATGGGCTTCAGCCAGATATTTGCCTTGTTTGGTTTGGTTTGATGGTCAGGTTGTGCCAAACATTACATATGATGCTTAGAGTAATAATCACGATGACAACAGACAAAAAAACATTTATGGGCACTTACCGAATGCCAGGAACTGTGCTCGGCACTTTACATGCTGTGTCTCGCACACCTCCTAACTACTCTTTGGGGCAGCCATCCTTGTTAATTCCACTTTCTTGACGAGGAAACTGAGGCTCAGAGAAGTTAGGTAGCTCACCCAGGGTTACTCAGCAGTCACGTGACAGAGTTAGCATTCTCACCCTACCTCTGGGCTACCTCCTCAGCGTGCCTGTGAGACCCAGCACCTGGCTCCGTGCCTGGCACAGTGGGGTGCAGGCAGGGCCCTGTGAGGCGGGTGAGTCTCTGCACGCTGGCTCCAGTGCAGGGCCCGGCTCGGAGCGCCCGCTGGCCTGTGTCCGCCTTTCGAACCTGTGCACACACCAATGAGATCAGCTCCAGGCCTCCCCGGACAACTGGGAGAGCTGTCTTGAACTCCACTCTGGACCAGCGCTTCTTGATGCAGACAAACTACTGTTCGCGTCCTTTGGACATAATTTGCAGCGAGACGGGATCATTTGGAGAGCCATAAATACACATTCAGATGCACGTGATGGGTAATAAACTTGGCTCCAACGAGTCACTTGAGCCCCCATAAATCTTGGCTGCGTTTCCTTCCCCAGTGCCTGTAAATCAGGCCCTATCTCCGCCACCCTGGTGGCCCCTACCTGCCATCCATCACACTGCAGGTGGAGCATCTGACAGCCGGCCCCACACGCTGCCCTCATGCCCCGCACACATCCTGCCACCGTCCTTGGGGCGCCCAGGCGTCTGCCCCGTTTTAGTCCTCCTTTGTGCTCTTCTGCACCCAGCCGCCCTGCATGGCATGGTTTGCATGAGCCTTATGGGGTTTTAACAACACGCAGTTTTTTACCAGTGGGCTGTAGCCGCTCCTTCCTCTCCCCTCTCCGGGGCCTCTGTCCTTGCACTGTTTTCAGCAGGCCAGCAATGCAAGGGGAGGGGAAAACCTCATGGGGGCTGGATCAGGCACCGCAGGCTGACGTGGTTCTGGAACTAAAGATTCCAGCCTTCTCCAGACCCAGGTGTGCTCACCTGCAGGATGGAGACCATAATCCCTATTTCCCAGGATGGCATGACTCAGAGTACTAATACTCAGGTAATCAACATTGGAGAAAGCCTCAAAGCTCAGTGACTTAACCCAGCACCTAGTTTAATTTTTGCCTCCTACAAAATCGGACGTGGAGGCCTTCCTCCGTCTTCTAGCCTTATTATCTGGAACGTATGTTCCTCCAAGATTGCTCCTGCAGGAGCGAGGGATGCTGAGAGCTCCTTGGCTCCTAACTGCTTCAGCCCAGAAGGGACGTGGGTCTCCTCTGCTCACATCCTATTGGCCAGAACTAGTCACATGACCCAGACTAATCAAAGGATGCTGGGAGGCATAACCGGTGAGCATTTACATTCCCGCCAGGGCGGTGCTGAGTGTTTACTCAAATGCAATTCACAAGAGAGGCTAAGGAAGGGCTCCAGCAGAGCCTCGCGGTGTCAGAGATGAACCCAGATCAGGACTGGCTGACTTACACTCAACTCCCTTCTGAAATGGTGGTCCCCGCTCACGGGGAGAGCGTTTGTCATCATGCCTCCCTTGGGGCCTGGCTGGGGCGGCACAGGGCCACACACCTGGGACACCTCTTTGGGCCAAATCAGCAACCTCTCCTCCAACATCGGCCAATGGGGAGGGCCCCGGGGTGCTCCCACCACTCTAAGTAGCCATCAGCGCAGGCTCTGAGGTCAGATAGATGTGGGTTCAAATCCCACATCTGCAATCGACTCCCTCTGTGCCCCCAGGTGGGCCACGGATCCTTCCCAGCCTTCTGAGTTTTCTTCTGTGTAAAATGGGGCCAATGAGGTCACTACAAGAATTCCATGATGGTCGTAAAGGACCCAGAGCTGGGTTTCCAATCGGTGCTCAGGAAGTGGGGTCATCCAAGGCCGTGCTGTTTTCCGTGACACAACGCAGGCTCCCTGAGGGTCCGGCTCTCTCCCACCACCCACCCCTCCCTTGGGCTAGCAGCTAGCAGCACCCATGGCCTTTCCAGCCCCCGGCTCCTCCCAGCTTCTGTTGTGGCTTCAGGCCCCCATTACTCAAGAAGACAACAGGAAGGCTCCCGCCCGCAGCTGGGCCCTGCCTGCAGGAAGCCCTCTGGGATTTCCCCAGCTCTTGTGAGTGTGGGGACAGAGTAGGCTGCTGGCAATCCTCCGGACTGGGGCTGGATCAGGAGGAGGAAATCTGGCATATGAGGGTCTCCCTTGTCTCCGGGGCCAGCCTGCTCGCTGGACAGCCTCCTACAGCTGGGCCATGTGGTTTCAGGGCTGGAACTCCGCACACACACTCTGCCCCCTTCTTCAACTAGAGACGCAGCAGCTCATGGTAAGGCAGGCAAGCAGGAAGTCCAGGAGGCCAGGGCCTGGTGTGGCTGGAGGAAATGGACGGGTAGGGTGCCCTCTGCTGTCAGGACAGGAGGCTGGAGATGCCTGGGACCCCTCTCCCATGGCTGGAGACAGCTGGGTAGAAAGAGCCAGGCTGGACTGTAGGGGCAGACGCCCTGAGTTCTAGTCCTTGCCTGGCTGCTAAGTCAGCATGAGGCCTTAAGCTAGCCCTCTCCTGCCTGGGCCTCAGCTTGCTTACCTGTAAAATGGGCATTGTGTTCAGCCCGCCCGCCTTACAAGGTGAGCTGCAAAGCATGTGAGAAGGGGTTCAGTGTGGGGGTGGGAGAGGAGGGTGTGAGAGCCAGAGGGACCCTCTGCTGGGATCCAAAATCCTGCCCGTGACCAGCTCTGGCAGCACCTCCGGCTCCCCAGGAGTCCAGGTGAGGCCCAGAGATCAGCGATGGACCAGAGGGGCTTCTGCGCCTGTCTCCGCCCTCCCAGCCCAAGGATGAAATGTGCTTCTTGTCGCTGGTGGAACTCTCCTCCGTCTCCCAGGCCCAAAAGCACCTCATAAAATACCAAAAATAAACACTGGGCATGGCTTTCATTTGCGGAGGGTTTGTCTTGCCTTTTTTATTACTTCTTACCACAACATACCAGCCTTTCATCTTTGCACGCCTGGGTCAGTGACCCCGGGAGGCAGGCCAGAGGTGGCGTGTCCAGGCCTCTTTGGTCAAATGAGGACTCGCTTCTTGGAATGCGGGGTAAGCACAGGGGCTGCCTGGGCAAGGCAGCAAAGGCTGAACAGACAAGGAGACACTGGGCCTGGGTTTTGAAGGATGAGTAGAAGTTTGTCAGGTGGAAAAACGGAAGGGAGAGCATTCCTAGCAAAGGGAATGTGCAAACGGATAGAGAGAGGAACAGACTGGCATCTTCTGGGAGCAACTAGAAGTTCAGCGAGTCTGGCTATTAGGGAGGAGAGGAGGGCGCTGAGAGACTGACCGAGAGGGCTGGGTTGTAGAGCCTTGAATGACAGGCTCAGGAGCCCAGACTTTATCCTGAAGGCCAAGGGGAGCCAAGGAGGAATGTAAGTGAGGTGGGGACACCTGCCCTCCAGGGCCAGCCTTTGTGACAGTGCCGATTCTCCTTGTGTTGATGGGAGGTGAGAGGCGGCCGAGTGATTCTTCTCCCCAAACTCAACTTTCCCAGCAAAGGAAGACTTCAAAGAATATAAAAGGAGCATCCACATAAAACAACTCTATAAAAAAGTCAACATTTCTGTGATTTTGTAGAAATTAATCAGGAACACATGCGTTCCATTTTTCATAAATTGCAAAGGATCAAAAGAGAAGGAAAAACCTCTTAGGGGAGAAGACAGCTTGGGCCCCATCCCCAGCTGACACGCCCACGCGGCTGCCTTGGGGTGTGGGCCTTCCTTCCACTCCGTGTCCCCTGTGCACCCCGACACATGTGGCCCCGGGCTGAGCGTGGGACACACCCCAGGGTCCCTGCAGACAGGAGGGAGCAGCAGCCAGCCAGCCGTGGCAGTCGCCGTGACCAGTGCAGAGAGAGAAAGCCGGGGGGCTGGCGAACCCAGAGGAGGCCTCTAGCCCAGCCGATGGAGGGAACAGGACAAGGGACAATGAAAGAAGAGAGCAGATGAGGGAGCTGGGGACAGATCAGGGCTGGCTGGGAGGCACTGCTGAAGAATCCAGATTTTCCCCTGCACTCTTCCCCACGGCCATCTGAAGACCAGGGCTTGGGGACAGAACTTTCATTCATCCTCCCTCTTGCAGTGGGACCATCCCTGAACCTCAAGCCCTCAAGGGGATAATCATGAGGAGCGGGGAGGAGCTTGGACAGGGGGCCCCCCGGCTCGGCCTCTCTCACCTGGCCTCACCTGGCTCTGTCCACTGTGGGGGCCAAGGTCAAGGGCAGGAGAGGTGAGGAAGCAGTGCCTTAAGCCGTGGCCCAGCCAATGCCCTGCGTGTCCCAAGGCCCAGCAGTTCCACAGCACGGGAGAGGGGCCAGGCATCGGGGTCCCCAGTTCCTGTGTCCCTCCCAGGGTGGCGGGAAGTCAGGAGGCGCGCCAGGACGCAGAGAGGCAAGGCCCCCTGTGCTTCATCCTCAGCGCGCCAGGTCAGGGGCTCCCCGCCTCCCCCGACCGGGCAGCACCCAGCCCGCCCCCGTGGGCGCCCTGCCAGCCCCGCGGGCGCGCGGGGAGACAATCCGGCCAGACGGGCTGCCATGTTGGCACGGCCCGAGGCGCCCGGGGCCGCGGGGAGCTTCAAAAGGAAAATGAGTGTCTCTCACCAGCAATTAGAGGAAATTATTCAGATAGAAATCTTGTTTTCTATCTCCTCATCCTTGTTTTCCAATCCCCGGGCTTTGATTGCTTTCTTCTTCGGGGGATTCTCAGAAAGACACCAAGAGCCGGGCGCGCACGGCGGCCTAATGAGCAGCGGCGCGCACCTGGCGTCGCGGCCTTGCCCCTGGAGGCGGCTTCTGGGGGCTGTGTCCGCGCACCCCAGCCCCGGGCTCCCGGAGCGCTGGCGGCCCCCTGGCGCTGCCGGGTGGGCAGCCGTGGGTGGGCCCCTGCCCTGCTGGCTGGCTTTCCCACTGCCTGAGGGGGTGGCACTGGGGCCCAGGCCTGGCTGAGGTCACAGTGGAGGCGGGGGGGGGGGGGGCGGGGGGGGCGGGGGGGGGGGCGGGCTCTGAAGCCGGCCAAGGAGGCCAAGAGGGGCCTGAGTGAGGGCCAACACCGCTGGTCTCTCAGTGGGGAGATCCCTCTCACATCCCTCCCTTCAGCATCTCCCCGCCGCCTCAAAGGAGGTCCCAACTCTGCAGCCTGGCCCTCAGAGCCCCTGATCCATCCCCGCCAGCTTCCCTGGCCTTATCCCTGCCCCTTCCCCCACCCCCCTTCAGATGCCCAAGATGCCTGGCTTGCCCCAGAGGGAGCCGAGCTGCTGTGACTGGGGGTTCTGTACAATGTCGGCCATAAATCACCGGCCTTGTCCTTCTTGACCTGGCCAACTCCTGCATCTCCTTCCAGGTCCAGCCCTGCCTCACTTCCTCAGAAACACCGACTCTGATACCACCTTCCAGAACGGGTGGTGCCCTGCCACTTAGCCCAGGTTCTCCCCAGAGCCTGCCGAACTGTGCATGCCTTGCTCCCTAAGAGCGTCTCAAAGCCAGGAAGCAGGCGTGCTTGATTTCCGGGTCCCCAGCCCTGAGTGGCCCAAAATGGGCTTCAGCAAGCTTCTGCTTGAATGCATGATGCCCAGTGATAATGACTGCTTGAATAAATGAATGAATGAGGGACTGCACAGAGCTTTTGGAAGAGGCACCGGGAACAAAGTGTGAAGAGGCTAATCTTGACACATGGAGCAAGGCGCTTTACCAGTTTTTTACTCAGTGTTCATTCTGTGGATGTGATTGGTAGCTCCAGCCCAGCCTTCAAAACAGTTGTGAGGATAAAACAAAATAAAGGAGTTGAGAATGCTTTGCAATCGTATTAAAGGGCCTGTACTACCTCTCCCTCCCTTCCTTCCTCCACCCATCCATCCATCCACTCACCATCCATTCACCCTTGCAATTATCCATCCATCCATCCACCCTTCCATCCATCCATCCATCCACCTATCCATCCACCCATCCATCCACCCATCCATCGCTCCACCCATCCAACCACCCTTCTATCCATCCATGGATCCACCCATCCATTCACCCTTCCATCCACCTATCTATCCATCCATCCATCCATCCATCCATCCACCTATCCATCCATCCATCCACCTATCCATCCATCCATCCATTCACCCATCCATCCACCTATCCATCCATCCATCCATCCATCCATGCATCCATCCATCCATCCATCCATCTATCCTCTCCTGCATTCATTTAACAAGCACTCACTGAGGTCTCCTATGTGCCAGGTCTGCACTGGGATCTGGGGGACAGAGAGGAATCAGAAGCAGGACCTGCCTCCAGGACCCCCTCCCAGGGAGAGGCCACCAGTGTAGCAGAGAGGCGCAAGCGGGAGCTGAGGGGGATGCTGAGCCCCAGTCTTAGAGTGCAGCCCGAGAGCGTGGCCGCTTCTGACTGCCGCTGATGCACTGCCCCTCTCGAGCTCGGCTTGCCTGGGAGCCTGGGAGACCAGAAGCGTTTCCACCAAGAGTCCAGATAGGATGGGGCCTGGAGGGCGTGGACGTGGAAGTAGAGGTGAGATGGGGAAACCTGGGCACAGAGAGGTTAAGAAACTTGACTACCTGATCAGGAAGCTACTGAACGGGGCCGTGGGCCCAGAGCCACACTCTTAACCTCTGCCTTACACTGACTGGTAACAGCCTGCACTACGGGCCCTCAAGCCAAGTGCTCAGAAAGCCTCCAATCAGTGGCTGTCCAGCATCTGCTTACACACCTCCGCTGATAAGAAGCTCACTACCTTTCCAGGCTGCGAGTCTCATCTATGAACAACTGTGACTGTGCACTGCTCTTTCTTGGACAGAGGTCCATGTTGACCCTAGTTTTGTCCTCTGGACCCAGTATATTCCTGCTGTCCCAGAATGTCCCTGTAGAAACTTGAAGATGGCAGTGGTGTCCCTCAGCCTTCTCTTCCCCAGCCCGGGTCCCCTCCAGGCTGCCCCCAGACCCTCTCACCTCCCAGCTGTTGGTCTGGCACAGAAGGCCAAGTGTGTCATCAAGCCACAGGAAAGGGAGGCAGCCCAGGAGACCAGAGGAAGGAGAGTACCTTGTGACATTAACTTGGGGTCTTAACCTCACCCCTGGCCTTGCCCTACTGCTTCCAAATATTACCTTTTATCAGACTCTAAATACTGTTTGTCACTCCACCTTGTTGCAGTGTTTTCATTGCTGTAAACTGCCTGGATTCTGTTTGGGGGAGAGGAGAGAGAGATGAGTAAAGCAGCCAGCCAACCCTCCTAAGCTTCAGGGGATGGCCACATCTGGATCCCACCTCCCTCATGGTCACTAGCCCAGTCCTCCCATTATACCCACCATGGACGTCCCCGGGCACCCACCTCGCTCCACCCTGCTCTGTGGAGTAGGAGGGTGGGGGTAGAGCTCCCCTAGTGGTCCCGGAACCTGCCGGTGCCAGCTCTGAGAACCAGTTGTTAATTTCTCAGTATGTTGCAAGCTGGTTGATGTCATGATGAGAGCTTGAAATTAGCCACAGTGAGAGCATTTAAACCATGGGAACTGGCAGGTGCTACAAATTGCAGCTTTTCCCCACATTTTCCAGCACACAACTAAATCTGCCCCTCGTCTTTCCTCTTCCTGGCGTCTTCCAGCCACCACGTGGGGAGGGTCCTGGGTCTGCCTGACCCCAGAGACCCCAATCCTCCCAAGAGGCAGCCAGGGGTCCTCAGGGGACTTTCCCACTGCCAGCCTCTCCTCTGTGTGCACGCTCTCCTCCTCTGTTTCCTCCTAGGAGCTCAGGATGTGTTCATGATATGCGCATTCAGCTATGTTGAGCGCTGCTCTCCATCAGGCACTGGGCTGGGGACCCAGGGGTGGGATAGAGCTGCTGTCCTCCACCAGCTCAGGGTTGGGAGGAGGGTGCCCTGTACTCCGTGTGTCATACACATTATCTCACTTACTCCTCGCAAGACCTGGGCCCATTTTATAGATGAGAAAACTACAGGGGCTGGAATGCTAAGTGAGTAGTCCCCATGTGCCCAGATCCACAGACCCTCAGCACTTCAAAATGGCAGCGGTGGTGACTTTTTTCGGGTCTGACCTTCCCCGCAGCTCTGAGAGGAAGCCATTATCTGCTCTGTTTGCCGGGGAGCAGCCTGAAGCTCAGAGTTGACTGGTTCACCTTGCAAGTGTGGATGAAAATGCAGCGCTCGCTCCCGAGTCCCGGGGGTGATGCCACACCCCCCCCCCCCCCCCCGCCCCCGCCGCCGGCCTGGGTTCTTGTCTCAGCTCCACTCAGGATGCTGGCGGTGTGGCCTTGGACAAGTCGCTTCCCATCATCTAAACCTGGCTGCCTCCCCCAGCCCTGATCTCCTTCTGAGCCCCAGCCCCTGCACCCCTACCACCCGGGCTTCATCCCCAGGTGTCCCTCGGCCCCTACAACTTAGCAGGTCTTGGGTGGAAGTCTCTAAGCCTCTATTTTCTCATCTGTGCAACCGGAATAACAATAGTTTCTGCATCACAGGGTATTATAAGATACTACAATATCACACTTTCATTGCGCCCATGGTAGGTACTCAATAAATGTTAGCTATTAACTGGCTGGGAACGTGTCCCCATGGTCCGGCCGGCTGTGTGTAGTCCCTGAACATTCAAGCATCCAGCAATCACTTGAAATCCACACCAGGTCATCCACCCACCTGGTGGCCTCAACAGGTGGGAGGGTAGACTAAAGATGGCCACAGAGTATTTGTCACTCCCTTCAAGGGGTCTGTTCCCTCTCCCCTCGAGTCTAGGCTGGCCTTGTGGCTGCTTAACCCACAGGATGTCATGGAAGGGACTCGGTGCCAGTTCTAGTCCTTGCCTCAAAGAAGACTGGCGGCTTCCGCTTCTTCCCTCTGGGACGCTCCTTCTCGGGGTCCGGCTATCCTGCTCCGGAACACATCAAGCCCTCAGAAGGCTGCAGCCCCAACGACCATCACGTGGAGCAGAGGAACCTCCCAGCCGAGCACAGTCGCCTCACAGAACCGTGAGACTCAGTGAGATGGTTATTGCTTTAAGCCAAAAATTTTGGGGGCAGTTTATTAAGCAACAGTGGGTAACCAACACAGATGGTAGCCCCATCCATGAGATGTATATGCATTTCTAAGTGTTTATTTACTAGTTTTTAAAAGGCCTTTCTACACTATCAGACAACAGCCAAAAAACTACAGAAAACTGCCTGCTGCCTGTTTTTGTACAGCCTGGAAGGTAAGAATGATTTTTACATTTTTAAATGGCTGGGCAAAAAAAATCAGAGGGATATTATTTGGTGATCCGTGTGTGAAAATTATCTGAAATTCAAATTTCGGTCCCATAAATAAAGTGTGATTGGGACGCAGGCACGCTCCTTCACGACATATGGTCCACGGCTGCTTTCGCACGACAAGGGCCGACTTGTGTGGTTGCGGCAAAGACCGAAAGGCTGCAGAGACTAAAAGATTTACTGTCTGGCCCTTTGCACGGACTTCCCACCCCTGCAGCAGAGCATTAAATATGTGTCACCATTTTGGTCTTAAATCACTGCATAGAAAACGCTGCATGTGTTTCTGAGCTTCTATTTACTTACTCTACCAAGTAAAAAAAAACGAACATTGTGGACTTTTTTGCTTACTTGTTTGTTTGTTTATCTAAAAGCTTGGAAGCTTTAAGAAATCTAAAAAATGGCCAAACTGTGCAAAATTTAGCAAATTGTGGGAGGAGTGCCAAGAAAGCGTTCAAGGAGACATCAAATTAAAACTTTCTCATGGTGGGGAGAGACTGAGGATTTTGAATAAGGAGAACAGGGTTTGGAAAAGAGGCCCAGCTGGACCAGGACGCTCCCTAAGGCCCGCACTGCGGCCCTGCAGCCTCCTCCCCCGACCCCCACCCCTGCCCCATGCTCCAGGCCCCTGGCGCCTCAGTCCTGCACAGATTCCTTCACC